AGGATAGTCATCTTAAGTCCAATTGAGGTAAATGCAATTGAGATTATTTTGTATTTTGTACTAAACTAAGTTTATTATTTAGAAAATTTCTAATTTTATAGGAATTTGTGATCTCTAGATGGTTTATACTCAAGTCGAACCGGTTAACTTGTCGTGAGGTTAAACCAATAACTAAAGTGAGATATTCAATCGATAAATTAAGAAATAAAATTATTCCATATTTATAATTTATAATTGTTGTCTAAATAATAAAAATGGTGATAGGGTTATCACAGTATCAATGACTTGACTAGAGAATAGGTTGTGATTCCATTGGGTTATGGTTCTTTTCTTACTGTTCATAAGCCTGAAGTGATTGATTTAGACCTAATTTAACATTATCACCTTATAGAGCATAATCTCAATAAATTATTGGCAATAGCATTATTTAACATGAAACTTGCATTTCTGTAAGAAAATAATATATTATGCATAAATACAGTGAAAGCAATAAAGAAATAAATCAATTTTTTGGCAATAAGGAATGCAGCAGGAAATCTATTTTTTATTTTAGCATATGTGCAACTATGACAGAAGCAATTCTAGGCTTCGAGCTATCATGTTTGGCTAGAAAATTAAATTAAAATCAATATTAAAAGAAAAATTTTTATTGTGGAATGGCGAAGAACTTCTTAAGAAAGTAGTTCAGGAATTGATTTATTCTCCTACACTCTTAAGGGGGTGTTTGGTAGCCTCTTGGATTTAACTTAAGTAGGATTTACTAAATCCAGTAAATCCACTTATGCTAAATCCAAATTTTATGTTTGGTATTATTTTCGTTAAATCCACTTAAATCAACAATTTGTTTTTGGCATTTGTTTCAGGATTTAGCATGAGGGTATGGCAGAGGTATTTTGGGCACAAGAGGACCATTAGACCCAATGCAAAGAAGCTTTGTAACGAAGATGATGACAGTGGTGTCATTCAAATTACTGTTTATAGAAGTGTGGTGTCATTCACATCCACTCACAGCACCCCACACAGTTCCTCTTACCCTCCAAAATTAGAATTTTTAGGATTTGCTATATGACTGGAACATAATTCAGTTTATTAAGATGAATTGGAATTTTTTTCTTTTGCAAGTTTTACGTTTTCTGCATAAATCATACGGAGCTTATCCGATTGCTGGAAATGTGAGTTAGCATTTGAAGACTCAACTACCAATAACTTCATATGCTCTGCAGAGCTAGCAATTTTAACTGTTTGCTGAAATGAAAAATAATGAGAAAGAAAAACGAGTTTTAGTAATCGCACGAAACTAAACAAAGGTGGTAAATTAACCTATTAATATAAAATATGCACCCTGCTTTATAGCACCACTAACCTTACTAACAAAATCATCTGGAAACATCCAATTGCGTAGTCCAATTTGTGCTAGTAGTACTGAATTATGTTCAAAGAATATTCAGATCGTAATCTAGATAAGTCTGAATTATATTAACCTAGATCCTACCAAACAGCTAAAAATGACAGCTTTATAAATCCTGTGGGTTCTTATATCCTGTTTTTGATCCGATTTGCCTTGAATCCAGGATTTGATCAATCCTGTTGGAAGATGGATTTACAGGATTTATTTCTGAACAATCTTTAAGTGTTCTTCAAACCTTCTTTGAGTCTTGTTTCAATGTTTAAGGAAACCATTACAACACCAACTCTCAAGTTCATTGGTTAACGCATAAAGATATTCCTTCGCTGCATCATGAACAAATAACAGGTAAAATGATAGCTACAGAATACATTTCAACGCTAATCCAGTGGTTTTAAACAAAAAACCAATAGCAAAACCTGAAATACTAATAACAGAATACTTACTCAAGAAGGCACCTTATATGAGTCAAAAGTTTATACTTACCATATTGGAGCTGTTATGATACAGAACTTTGCTTAAATGGACATAACAGTAAGGATTTAAGTGAAGTGTATATATACATGGAAGAAATGATCGATCATTTATAAAATGAGAGATTGAGAAAGGTCAAATGAACTTTACAGCAAGACAATTCAACCTTCAAAGTTTTAATGATCAGCTCCTTAACGCTTAGAAGCTATTTGGTAGTCGGTTTTATTTGTATATGTACATGACAAGAACCAAATAGTTTTATGGATTTAAGCACCTTAGAATTTGGTAGATTTGGATTTACAGAATTTAATATTCCTATTTAAAATAAATGTGACTAATTGACCAATTGTCTCAATTATCATATGAAGAGGGTTAATTAATCATATGATACTTCTAAAGTAATGTATATTCACCTATATAATATGTGATTGATTAACTAACCCTCTTTTCTGCATGCCTAAACAAAAGTTTATTCCTTTAGCTCACAATCACAATGGAGGAACACATAAGGTCGGGTATACGAGGATTACCTATACGTTTATATCTTCATATGCTATGACCGGAGGCTCCTTTGTCAGCAATCTATGAATTGCGTCGTCCAAAGGAACCTCAGTAGCTTTAAGGTCAAGAGAAAAAAAATCTGCCCCTATATCCTAAAGTAGGATTTTGTAGAGGTGAGACTTACACTTGCTAAGCATAAGTGGACAGTTGCCTCCAGGAAGGGAAAGATAGCAAGCTAGAGCGCTCTCGCGATAAGTCTTACACCCGTCTTGGTCAGAGAGCCTTCTAACGACCTAGGCTCTCTAGATAACCACCTAAGGTAAAAATTTATGTTGGGCCAATCGATTTGGAATAGTGCGAGGAATCTTCCTTAGGACATGCAAAATGCAATGCAGTTATCTAGAGCGATCCTTAAATTGTTCAAGCTCTATTAGCATGACTTGAGTTAGGCCCATGCAATGTGACCTATTTTAAAATCGGCCCGAAGGTCATGCAAGAAAGTAAAGTGTAGTTTTAAAATCTTAAGATATTTTAATTTGTCTTAAAATTTTATTAGGATTTCTGAAAGATTTAAAATTTTATGTCCTAAAGAGCCTAAATTGCATTTTGTGATTAATCCCAGACAGACCACACATAAAATGGGCAAAGCCAATTTCAAGCACACAATAGAAAAGTAAAAGCACGCCAAACAAAATAAAAAAACAGGCCGATGTCGCTGGGTATGCAACATTTCCCAAGAAAGTAAGAAAGATGGTCAAACACCACATAAGCACTCTTATTCCTAATTTTATACAAGAATATGAATTCAAACTTAAAGTACAGGACACAAGTCTACTGCTCCTGGTCTCTCGTCACGAGATTCGATGTGTCATGCGACTCAAAAACTGTGCTCGTATCTTATTTTTGATACAGACTCAATCCTAAGATTTTTAAGATTAATTGCTATCCCATATACTTGTAAAAACAATATGCTAATAGTTACTATGACTTGTTGGCAATAACATAATGTACAATGAAACCTACTGATTCATTGGTCAAATTTAATTTATTATGCACAATTACACAGCAAACATTAAAAAAATAAGTTAATTTTTGGGGATTTTTACATATTCACAACCAAAAATATTTAATATAATATTTTAACCCCCCAAACTTTAAATATAATATTTTAACCACCCAAAATCTTAATTATAACATATTAACAACTCAAAATTTCATGAGTGAGTTTAGGAGTGTGGTTGTAATGAAAAAGTGGTTAAAATATTATATTTAAAGTTTATTCGATTAAAATGTTATATCAAATGTTTTGGGTGGTTGGTATGTAAAAACCTCTAATTTTGTTGAGCCATAGTGATGGCAACAAGAAATTCATTTTTTTTCGAGGTGCATGTAACCATGGCAAAAGGGATTATAGGTTTGAAGTTACCATGGTTGATAGGAAATTGAATTAAAGTCAAAATTAAAAGAAAACTTTAAATTTGTGGAATGCTCAAGAACTAAATTAGTTTAGGTATCTATTTAATTCTCATATTCAATAAAATGAAGTATTTTTTTTTATTCAACAACAAACCTGTATCACACTAGTGGGGTCGGCGAAAATGTAGCTTTTTTTAAATACAAAAATGTTGTCCTTCCACATTATTAATTGCTTCTAATACTCAGAACTTAGGATGTAGTTGGGCATGAAATCTAGTTGAGCATGATGGGGCAGTTTAATGTAGCTGTCATGTGAGATTGAATGCGTGTTTTATTAGGAGCATGATGAAAAACTCTCTTTACTTCAATTACAGGTAAAATTAGAAGGGAAAAAAAAGAAGCTTTAGCTCATCATTCCAATGTTCAACTATCCTTTCTTTATCTACTTTTAGCAAAACATTCAACTGCCGAAGATTTGTTTTATGAAATTTTAATTTGTATGTATTTCAGCTAGATATTTGATTTGTACGGTTTTAATTTTATGGTGAAGTAGAAATATGTGGGCATGAACCTTTTAGTGTTTAGGTTTTTTTGTTTTTTTTTTCTGGTTCTCACGCCCTTTTGTTTTTCATCTAGTTACGATATGAATTTCTCAACTAGTTATGGCCTATGAAATTTCTTATTAACTAGGTGCTATGATTATGAAATACACATTGCATGATGCATGTACTATAATTGAAATCAGGCATATCCTAATTTTAAAGTTCTTTATTTGCAAATCACCGCATGTTCGCTCGCACCATGCACAGAACTTGGTACTAATGATGCTTCATGAATTTTTCTGTTCTAATTAGCATATCTGCTATTATTTATTAATCAAGTAAATATGAATATAAAGCTGTAGATTTTATTGGGTAGGAAAACTGTGCATGATTTGTTTGGGCTCGAGCAGGATCTCTGAAGGTTAATTTTAAGCGAGCAGCATAGCCCACCTAATCTTTCAAGCTTAACTGTATTGATTACAGTATTACACTGTTATAATGAACCATAGTCCATTCTGGTACATAGATAATTGTTTTTATTGGATTCATCGATCACTAAGTTAATTTTTCTCTTAGCCAAAATTAAATATATGAGTTGACAAGTTGTTATGACCATTTTACTTTTTACCTTATGGACATTGTTTGCTCTTCACATATTACAGGAAGCAAGAGCCCTCCTTGGAAGGCTTGAATATCACAAAGGCAACATTGAAGCTGCTTTGAGGGTTTTTGATGGTATAGACCTCCAAGCTGCCATACATCGCCTTCAATCTTCTCTTGCTGATAAACTCTCTCCGAGGAAAAGTCGTTATCGGAGTGAATTGCAACGTTCAGCATCACAACATGCAGCTAGGCTTGTTCTTGAAGCCATTTATTTGAAAGCAAGATCTCTTCAAAAGCTTGGCAGAGCTTCTGGTAATGACTGTTTTCGTGTGATTTTTTGTTACTCTTAAGGGCTGTAAAAGAACCAATGCACTTGAGAAACAACTGGAACACAACTCTATTAATACTCAATCAGGTTTGTTCAATTTAGTAAATAAACAAGTTTGAATATTTTTTTAAAACTCGGCGGTTAAATGAACCAAATTTGAACATAGCCCAACTTATTTATTAATGTTCATGAACAAGTTCATTTGTTGTTCAAAAATTAATTTGTTAAATGTTATAAATATATTTAATATATTATTTAAATAAAATTTGATTAACTAGTTTTTGTTTAATTATATTTTTAATTGTAATCTAATATACATTAATATCCTTATGCATTTAAATTTAATGCAATTTTTCTTATTTTTATTTTAATAAATTATTTTTTAATACTTTTTTGTATTATTTAATTGTAAAAAAACTTACTTATAGTTTATATATTATTTTATTTATTTGGTATAATATAGTTAGATGTTAATTTGAAATTTATTCAATTACTTATTTATTTAAATTTGTGAAATCATTTGTTAATAATTTTATGTAGCGAATTTTTAGTTTATTTACAAGTTCTTATGAAAAATTAAGTACAAATTAAAATTTTAATTTTTCATAAAAAAATAAGTACTCATTCGATATTTTAATTTGTTCAATTGATACAATCAAGCCAAGAAAAATCAATTATGAGCATTAAAAAATTTAAGCAAGTCAAGTATAAACATATATGTAAATGGTCGGCTCAAGCTTGAATTGAACATGAACTGTGATTCGAACAAGCCAACTCTAATCCATGACATAACTAACACGACTTGGGTCGATTATAACTCTAGTTCACTTACACTTATCCTGTTAAAATCATGATACCTGGAGCACTTATTTATGCTGAATGTCTCCAAATAATGGATCCCTTCTTCTTCTTCTTCTTTCAAATTTAAAGGAAAGCACCTTTTCTTGAATTCGTACATTTCAGAGGCTGCTCAAGAATGCAAAAGTGTCCTTGATGCTGTGGAGAAGATGTTCCGTCATGGCATACCGGATGTGTTGGTTGAGAATAAATTACAGGAAACAGTTCGGAAGGCCGTGGAGTTACTTCCAGAACTCTGGAAGCAAGCTGGACAGTATCAGGAAGCTTTGATTTCTTATAGGCGTGCTCTTCTTGGTCATTGGAATCTCGAAGATGAATGTTGTGTGGGGATACAGAAAAGATTTGTGATCCTCCTCTTATATGGTGGTGTAGAGGCTGGCCCTCCGAGTTTAGCTTCCCAAACTGATGGCTCATTTGTTCCAAAAAACAACTTGGAGGAGGCCATCTTGATCTTGATGATTTTGTTGAAGAAATGGTATCTCGGCCTGATTCAGTGGGATCCATCGTTGATGGATCATTTTACATTCGCCTTATCTATATGTGGTCAGACTAATTTCTTGTCCCGGCACATTGAAGAGGTCTTACCTGGAATGTATCCCAGACGTGATAGGTGGTATACCTTAGCTCTTTGCCTCTGTGGAGCAGGACAAGATAAAGAGGCGTTAAATTTACTCAGAAAAGTTCTGAATAAGCATGAAAATCCGGGTGATTGGAGGGCATTGCTATTAGCAGCTAAGATTTGCAGCAACGACTGCCTCCTTGCTTCTGAAGGAATTTATTATTCCCAAAATGTCATCGCTAATGGTGGAAGGGTTGAGAACCATCTTAAGAGAGTGGGTCTTCAATTTTTAGGCATCTGCCTAGGAAAGAAAGCTAAGGCTGCACTATCCGCCCAAGAAAGGTGTTGCCTGCAAGCTGAAGCAATTAGTTCTCTGGAGGCCGCAGTGGTTTTAGATCATCATAATTCGGAGTTAATCTATGACTTAGGTCTTCAATATGCTGAACAGTGCAACACAAATGCTGCCATTCGATGTGCAAAAGCTTTTATTGATGAGACTGGTGGAGCAATGCTGAAGGGCTGGAGGTTACTCGCTTTGCTTTTGTCTGCCCAGCAAAGATACCTGGAGGCTGAAGTTGTTACAGATGCTGCTTTAGATGAGACATCAAAATGGGAACAAGGGCCGTTACTTAGAATAAAAGCAAAAGTAAAACTTGCTGAATCTTTACCTATGGATGCAGTTGATACGTACTGTTTTTTGCTTGCTCTTGTTCAGGCCCAAAGGAAGTCTTTTGGCTCTTTCAGGAGCAGTACACAGGTTTGCTTCTTGTTTTCTGTATGAGGTTTTTTTGAAATGAATCATGTTTTTTCTCAAGCAGTGGCTAGACAATCATTTCCCATGGTGCAAACCTACTTCTTGGCTGAATTACCATTGGGCTGATTCTCTTGGGTCGGCCAGATTTGATTCCAGTTTTAAGTGATTTTGTTTGGGCCTTGTTTTTGACTTTCTCTACCAAACTTTTACATTAGTTGTTTATACTTGAGCTTTAAGGCCAAAGCCTCTTGATCTTAGCCTAACCACAGTTTAATTTCTTCCAAACTTGTTAGAATACAATCCTCCTTTTCAAATGTTTATGATTCAGTGAATACATTTTAATATCTGCCACCATCTTAACTAATTCGGTATACTTGAGAGAATTCCACTTGTATTAGCCAGTCAAGCTCCTTGGATGATGCGATAGATTGTTTATTGGCCTAGGACGGCTGGAACATGAAATCTCGATCCTTTTGATCAGTCATCCCACTATTCTTTGTGAATGCTAAAACTTCTTCAAAATGCCGTTTAAGGGTTGTTGACTTCATTTTTGTGAGGTCTTTTCTTCTCCTTCTTAGAGCTGGTCAAGCAAATTGTTTTGGTCATCTTTCGTTTTGTCTTTGAATTTTCGATTGCTTCTCGTAAATCTTTAAAATAGAAATAGGAACCCCCAATGTGATTGTGTGTTTGTGTGAGTCTTAACATGCAAAACATTTCTAACTTTAGCCAAGGGAAATGATGCAGTTGCAGTCAAATTGGATTGCTATAGTTATCATATTCCTTATAATCGTTGACTTTCTATTGTCTCAGGGTCTTTTTTATACGCTGATTATTGCAACACCTCTGATCATTATTTGTACCCAGGCTGCCATTTATTGCTACCCTTGCTTTTCCTTGTGTGGATGTATACATATGGAAATTACGAAACCTTAAAACTAATTCCTACTGTTGTTAGGATAATCGACACGTTTAATTTTTTACTGGATTTTGAAGAGTATGAGGAATTTTTTATTTTGAATTTTTCATATTTTACAAATATAACCTCAAGGCTCAAGATATGTTAAAATAAATAAATATTGTACATTGAAATAAAATTTTATTTTTCCTCAATTCTTGTACGTGTTTGTTTGATGTATACTTTTTAAGTGCATTTTAGGTCTTAATCACTACATACAAGTGTGAGTCTCTTTGTATTGCCAGGAATTCTATAACTTTCTTTGGATGATTTATATCTTTATTCTTACTATGAGTTTATTTAGTAGCTAGCGTGTGCATGATTGAATTTAGTCAACTATGAGCTGCATTTTTTTTTCCATAGTGTTAATCTTGATCGTTATTGAAATTTTATATTTGTTTACTTTTGTAAAATTTTAGATTGTGTTGATTATTAAAATATTGTTTGTAAAGAAAGAAGAATGTGATTTTCTTAATTAAACTTCATTAATTTTTTATCATTAAGAGTTGGTAGTTTGCAGATTGTGGTTATTTATGTGTTTTCATTGTATAACTCATCTCAAATTGTATTGGTAAATCCTAACGCCTTAAATATCCCACATCAGCAAACTTTGGGACATCCCTCAATCTGTCTTTGAAATCTTATGGTGCTCTTCTCAAAGGTCTTAAGAGTAGACTGAAAAACCCTAAATTTGAGCATTTGAGCCTTTAAAACTGACAAATCAAAGTCTCGCATGCTACCAGAGTTAACCCAAACCATAATAGGAAAATAAATATTATGTATGTATTCGAAGCAAATAAGCGATTACAAGATCATAACGAAAATGAAATACGACGACGAACACAACACAGACACCCAACTAGGATTGGATTCAAAGTTGGTGGAAAGGCTGCACTAGAGGGTTATGGTTGGGGAAAAGGAGGGTGGTTGGGGTGGTTGGCGGCAAAGGACAACATGTTAGAAGGCTCGACGGTAAGGATAATAGGTAGAGGGGTGGTTGGTGGCAATGGAATAGTAGGTAGGAGGGTTGGGCGGGAAAATGGATAGAGGCTATGGAGGTCTGACGGCGAAGGAAATAGTAGGTTGGAAGGCTAGTGACAAGAAGTTAACAAATGGGAGGCCTAGCGGCAATGAGACTACATAGAGGAGGGTTGGGGGCAGGAAGACAGCAGGTGAGGAGGCTAAGGTGAAGGCTGGAGATGCTGAGAATGATAAATAAACAACACCTTAGGACTAGTTATAGCCGGAGCAAATTCTTCGGATACAACCTTAGAGGAGAAAACCTTGACACCGACGGTTGTCTTGATAGAAATTTGAAATTAAAACTAAACCTTGAACACATAAAATACCTATAAATACTATTAGACAACAAAGAAGGGCTCCAATTATGTTGGGCGACAAATCCTGACCCCCAAGAGGCTAGTTGAACCCCCCCCAACCTCTCTTCTGGACAAGTCCAGTTGGTCGGTTTAGATTTCACGCCCCCGTCAATCTTCCGGGATTCGGGGAGCTTCAACCTTATTTGTCGTAGCTTCTGTGCCCTCTTAGTATGGAGTCAATTCTACAACGTTAAAGATAGCAAAGATATTGTAATCTCTCGATAAATCAATCTTGTACACGTTTTCATTCAACTTATTGAGGATTTTGAAATGTCTGTCTACTCTGGGCTTGAGTTTCTCAAACGATCCTTGGGAAAATCTTTCTTTCTTCAGTCTGATCCACACTTGATCTTCCTCTTGGAAGGTCACCTCTTCCTTGATTTATGAGTTTGCTTCTAGCACTTGTGATTCTGTTTGATGATCTCCTTCCCAACCTCCTCGTGCAGCCTCTGAATTTTCTAGACTCTTGTTTCCTCAGCTTCTCCTTTCATTGTCGGTATAGGAAGAATTAGTATGAACTCAAGTGGAGTGAGGGGGTTGCACCCATACACAATTGGAAAGGGCATATTCCGTAGTCTGGATTGCATACCTATTGTAGGCAAATTCGGCCTAGGCTAGGAGTAGGTCCCATTGTTTGATGTTCTTTTCTATGAAGCACCTCGGGAGGTTTCTAGTCTCACATTCATTGTTTATGTCTGATCATCTGTCGTGGATGAGCTGCCGAGTTGAATTGGAATTTAGTGAAGCTTCCCCATATGGCACTCCAGAAATGACTCAAAAACTTGATGTCTCTATCAGATGTAATGGTCAGAGGTATTCCATGCAGCCTCTTGATCTCTTTGAAGTACAAATCAGTAACATGGGATGTGTCCAACGTCTTGTGGCATAACACAAAATGAGTTATCTTTGAGAATTTATCAACCGCGACTATCATTGAATCGTTGTTTTGCTGCGTACTTAGAAAACTCATCACAAAATTAATATTGACTAAAACCTAGGGGGCCTCTGGTACTGGTAACGACGTGTATAGCCTTGTATTTTTCTCTCAGGTCTTAGCTAGGTGCAAACCCTCGTCAGATGTGCTAAAAAAAAGTGTTTTTTCACTACCGCGACTGTCTTGTCTGCCAATATGACCTGCTAGTCCCCCCCCCTTCTTACTCTTCTGGTTGATGGGCTTTCCTCAATGAACATCTCGGTACACACAACTTGCTTTGGTAGAATAAATAACCATCATCTCGTTGGCATGGCCTAGTGATCCTCTCTTGACACGTCTCCTCAAAATCCTTGTTTGTCGTGTACAACTCCTTCACGTTCTCAAATCCCACCACTCTAAACTGCAGGGAGGTAATCAACAAATGGCGGTGGCTCAACGCATCGACTACATGATTCTAACTTTCAGCATTGTGCTTGAGCACAAACTAGAATGACGCCAGGAATTCTTTAGACGAAGCATGTCTATTCTTCAACTTGCTCTTAATGTTCAAGAATCTCAGTGCCTCATGATCTAAGTAAAGTGAACTCACTCGTCAGTAGTTAGTGACTCCAGTGGTGGAGAGCTCTCACTATGACATAGAACTCCTTGTATGTCGAATACTTTCTCCAGGATTCATTAAAGTTCTCATTGAAGTAGGCTATAGAGTTTCCTCCCTAGCTCAACATTACTCTGATTTACATTTGAGGCATCACACTCCACCTCAAACAACTAACTGAAATTTGATAAAACTAATATTGGGGTTTGTGTCACCTTCTCCTTCAGGGTATCAAAACTGAATTGGGCTACCTCTATTCACTAAAAATTCTCTCCCTTCAAAAGCTCTGTCAAGGGATTTGTAATGGTGCTAAAGCTCTTGATGCTAGACTCAAATATTTACTTAACTCGATAAAGGACCGCCGGGGTGTCCAACTCTCAATTGCCTCTATCTTCGTGGGTTTCATTCGAATGACTGCACTAGATACAATGTAACACAAAAAATATACATGCGTCGACAGGAAATGACACTTTTTTGGGCGAGCATATAACTTACCCTACCTCGAAAGCCGTCCTCGGATATTGCAAGTGCCAACTCTCAATTGCCTCTATCTTAGTGGGGTTCATCCGAATGACTACACTAGATACAATGTAACACAAAAAATATACATGCGTCGACAGGAAATGACACTTCTTCGGGCGGGCATATAGCTTACCCTAGAAGGCTAGAACCTCGAAAACCTTCCTCGGATATTGCATATGCCCCTCCCCCCCCAAAAAAAAACCCGCCTTCATAACAACCGTAGGAAAGAATGTGTAATAACTACGAACTTTTCGATGAAGGTCCAAAACACCTGATTCATTGCCTCATAAAAGTGCTAGGTGCATAGAACAGTCCAAATGACATGACAGTTCACTCGTACCACTCATCTTTGGTCTTGAAGGCGGTCTTCGATTGATCCCCCAATCTCATTTTGATATGATGATATCTTTTGCGCAGATCAATCTTGAAAAAGGCCTCGACTCAATGTTATCAATCATGTAGGTTGTTCAGGTGAGAGATAGGGAATCTGTACTTGATTGTGATTTTGTTGACAACTCGACTATTAATGCACATCCTCCACGAACTGTCCTTCTTGGACACCATCAACACGGGAACAATGCATGGACTGGTACTCTCTCACCAATCCCTTAATAGTGAGATCCTTCACTTGGCAGTAGACTCTATGACAAATTGTCGGTCGTCACCTCCTAATACTCGAATAACACTATTTCCAATTCCCTCTAAGACGGCTAAGGCCAATGCCACTAGAGCTTATGAAACTGACTACAGAAAAGTGGTGCGTGGAACTTCAGATTTATCCTCTGCAGGTGTAATCGTTCATCCAGAATCTTTGATGGGTAAGAGAATTGACATGTTTCCTCTCCTTCATGAACGCATAATTGTTTTTGAACCTGTTGTGCTGCATCTTGTGATCAAATTGTCACAGTCTCCCTAACAAGATATGACAAGCATCAATGGGCACCACGTCACATTACACCTGCTCCTGTAGTTGGTCTCCAATAGAAAAATCTGCCAAACACTGTTGATCCACTCGTATCTCATTTCCTTTCTTCTACTTCATAAAATATGATTGTGAAGGTTTCTGTGTAACAAGATCCACTTTTTTACCATGAAATCGGAGGCCACGATCTCACAGTTTCCTTTGTCAATAATGAGGCTACAAATTTTTTTATCTCATCGTGCACCTGGTGTGGAAGATACTGTGCCTCAACCACAAGTAATTCCTCTGCGATTTTGTCTACAAAACTCTTCATACAACTAACATTTCTCTTTCATCTCCCTGGAGTTGGTATTCCTCACCCTGATCCTCAACTGCTTCTTCATCACTCACTACCTCTATGACTCCTTGCTCGATGAATGGCACTACCCAGCTCATCAGGCTGCTGTAGGCGATGTGGCCTTATCCATGACATCAGAAGCATTTTCGGGCCAATATTGTACCGGAGACCGGCCTTGTTAGTTTTCTGTCCAGTCCTTCCCCCTCCTCCAAACGTGCTCTGTTGGGGCATCCAACTGTAGGGGGTGGTTTGAACTGAGGCCGGTACCTCTGCTGCTTTTGTTATCTTTGCACCTTCAACGCTAAGTTTTGCATATTCCTTAGCGTTCAGTTGGTTTGCAATTGGACTACATTATTAATGGCGGACTTCAGGCCTCCTAAATACCATGCCATGGAATGTTATTCCGTCTCTTTTAGTTCACATTTCAATTTGAGTTGCATGAACTATATCGTATATTCCTCCTCTGATAGTTCCTTCTGCTGCAAGTAGTAGAGTTTCACGAAGATATCTTGGCAGGAGTGTGGGGGTAGGTACAATCGTTGCATTTTTCTTCTTCATCTTCTCCCAATAAATGATTTTGCCCCGTTCTTCCCTCTGGCTCTCCTTCTTCAGGTTCTTCCACAAAAATGAAGCATTCTTCATCAGCTTGATGATGGCTTTTGTCATTGGGCATAAGGAAGCATTCTTTGTCGGCTTGATTGCGGCTAGTTTCACTCTTCTGCCATTAGACACGTATTTGTACTATAAAATCCATTCAACCATCTGCATTCACTTGAGGAAATCTTCGGGATTCATCCTCCCATCAAATTTTGGTAGGTTCAACTTAAGTTCCAGATCTCTGCACCCTCCAACAAACACTTTCTCTCTTGGTCTCAGCTGATTCTGAATTTCAAAACGCCCTAGTCGATTCTTCTCATCTACCTTGAAGTCAGCCCCACGAAAGGGGTTCAACAGTTATTTTGGTTCTCCTCGGATCTCACTATTTTGGTCGGTGACTTCTGCCATTGTTATTTTCTTAATTGCCTCGAGCCTTTGTATCACTTGTAGTATTTGCTAGATGTCACCCATGGTAATATCCTGCTCCGTTTCCAGTAATTGCCTTCTTGGCGCCCTGGTTAAGGTTTAGGGGTGGGTTGGTGGAAAGAGAAGTATAGGGTAAGGAAAGAAAACTTTGGAGGTGGAGATAGGTTTGGGTATGACTGATGCTAGAAACCCTAGGATAAGACTCAGTTTAGGCTAGCTTTGATACCAAATGATATCATAGTTAATCCAAACCACAATAGGAAAAATAAATATTATTACTCAAAGCAAATAAGCGATTATAAGATCACAACAAAAAGAAAATGCTATGACAAACTCACAACCTTAACACCCAGTTAGGGTTGGATTCAAAGGTGGTGTAAAGGCTATAGTTTGGGGGTGGAAGTCGTTTGTTTTGGGGGGGAGGGGGTGCGCAAAAGGAAGGGAAGGTGTTTGGGTTGGTTGGCGACAAAGGACTGTAGGTTGAAAGGCTTGGAGGCAAGGAGATTAGGCAGAAGGGCGATTGGCGGCAAAGGGAATAGCAGGTTGGAAGGCTGGCGACAAGGAGCAGCATATGAGAGGGCTGGCGGCAAGGAGTCAACATAGGGGAGGATTGGCGACAGCGAGACGGTGGGTGGGGAGACTTAGATGAAGGTTGGAGATGCCGGAAATGATAGATAAACACCACCTCAATATTTCTCACTTTCAAATACAACCCTAGAGGGGAAGACTTGGACGTTGGCGTCTATCTTAACAGAAATCTGAAATTGAAACTAAACTTAGAACATACTAAACACCTATAAATACTATCAGGCAACAAAAAAACGCTCTGATTGTGTTGGGCGGAAAATCCTGACCACTAAGAGTCCGGTTGAATCTCCCGCGCCTCATCTGGACCGGTCCAATTGGCTCAGATTTGGTGTCCCCATCGCCGAAAAAAGTGGAAAGCCTCCCTAACTCTAGCTATGCATAATTATTCCCAATACCAACATTTAGGCAAAGAACCAGAGTTGCATGTAAAGCTACAATGTTCATAATGTGATTACCCAACCTGCTTTGTTAAAAGCAAATTGACTCGTGTTATCATGCAAGGGCCTAGTGTAATTATGCAATCCCAGTTGTAGTGTTTTTTCTCTCCTTGCACAACTAAACTACCCCAAATTGAAAGCTTTCTCTTAGAATTATGTTTCATTAAATGCTAAAATGATCTGATGAACATTCAGACTAATATAATTTGACACATGGCATTTGGATCAATTAAAAGCGACACTTAGAAATCAAATTGACATGAATGGTCAAACCCATTATGTTATTCTTGGTTACGCATTAATCCATGTCACACCGACATGGAGAGCTTAGATTGTGCCATGTAATCATGTCTAATGACTCCGATCATATAAGCACATCAACATTCCTGGTTAAAAATGTCAATTTTTAGAATCCGCTTCATAGCTACAACAATGATTTTTTAATATTTCAAAGCATTAGTCTGCAATTATAATGACATCAACACACTAGAAGAAAGTCTTTTGGTTTTCGAAATTGGTTGATGAAGAAGACAACTCAATCCCCTCGTCAGCGGCTTGAAAGATGAATCTTTACATGTGTGTGTGTGACATTAAACTGACTTACTTGCGCCTCTGATGGAAGGATGCTCGAGATCATCTAGAGCTTCCCTGCGGCTCTGCTTTGAGTATTCTGCCAGTTATCAAAAGCTTATGTTAAGCTTATATATTATATACATTGTAATTTACCTTTCTAGCCCTTCTATGTATTTACAAGACTGCCATTCCACTGGTTATAAAACCCAGCCTTATGTAACTCATTTGATATGAATGAAATATTATTTTCTTTCTCTATTTATATTTTCTCCTCTTCTTATAGCAATCTTCAGACATCAAGAAAGATGAATATTTGCTAAGAAGACAATGCCATATTATTGCTGCTAGGTCATATGTTATGGTTATAGCCTTTAATTTAATAAAGATTATTGTTGCCTTTAAATTAAGTACTCACTATTAAATTGAACCACAAATTAGTCATGCATTCAAATGCCGAACAAGTCCCCAATTTCCTCCAATCATGAAAAAAGAATCTCGCGGCATCCTTATTTGAGAATTCTTTTTCAAAATCAGGAGAGGCAGTTAGCCACAAGGAGCTTATGCCCATAAAAAAAACTCGAGTATGGAATCTAGAGTCCTAAATGAGATTGAATATTTCTAGAAGTGCTTATACACTTCTTAATTTACTCATTGAAAGTTTGCTTTTTCACTTTAGCGTCAGGTAACTCTTTCAAAGCTTTCAATCAATATGAAATGGAGTTTCTTAACTAAATCAAAATGAAAGGTGTCTTGAGAAATTCTAAGTTTGGAATTGGTTCAGGTCTTTTTCCTTGACTTCTTATAATTCAGGTGGATTTTGAAGATTATTAAGCCTTCAGTGATTTGGATTAGAATTTTTTTTCTCACTTTCCTCCTGTAATTTTCACCAACTTCAAATGTTCATATTAAACCTTGATTGTCATTACAGCCAAAGCATTGGCCTTGATATCTTAAACTATCATGAAGATTGTTGTATAAACCTTTGCGCGATGATGGCCATGGACTGAAAATTCCACTAGTCGTGTGATTAAATTATTATTGTATAAACTTTCAATATTTTTTGTGTGATATTCAATTTTTTCTCGAGAATGTTCTGAAATTCATCACTCATCTTTATTTTTCTCTATTGGGTTTTTGGTGGTCTTTGCTATTTTTGTAGTACAAATCAAATGTTCTTCTGCTAACCTAGACTGGGTGATCGCTCATCATCTTTAATTTTATTCCTCTTCTCCAGATTGAGGGTGTCAAAGAATTTGAAGTCTGGCAAGATCTTGCATACCTCTATTCTAGCCTTTCACAATGGAAAGATGTTGAGGCATGCTTGGCGAACGCTATGGCGTTGAAACCATATGCAGCTTCTACATGGCATTCAAAAGGTAACACTAAAGTTCTTTCTTCATCAGTAGCATTTAATATTACTCTTTTTCCAATCTTTCATTTTTTTTCCAATCTTTCATTTTTTTAAGAAGCATTCTGCTAATAATTACATCGTTGGCATTGTTTTTCTGTCATTTGGTTTTATATAAGCTACGACACGTTTAATTCAAAATATTTGTTGTGAGATTTTATTTTTTTTTATTTAAACTCACACATACCCGTTCATGTTTGGCCTTGAGCTCAAGACATTGTATTTGGAGACAAAACCCATTAGGCCACACATCAGCATTATTTAGGTTTTTTTATGACATTATGTTAATTATTTATCTTTTGATGGGCTAGAAATCATTGGAATTTTCTTTCTTACTTCCAGCTTTTTATAGCTGTTTGGTTGTGGAAGTCGAATGCATCCTCTGTAATTATTCACGTCATTTATTTAATTTATTTACGTTTAGGTATCTGTCGATTCTTTAGTGAAAACATATTCCATGCTTAAAAATTTTCTCTGTACACTTGTCTTGCGCAATTGTTAAGGAAATCGGCAGCTTGCCACATGCAGGTGACGTTACAAAACTTATTCTTTCATTTACTGGCTTTATTTTGTGCATTCATACTGTATCTGTACTTTTGTTATGCTTTAATAAAATGATATTTTCTTACATAGTTGGACACTGTTGCTCTTGATTTTATAGGCACGAAGGCACACACTTCTCACACAAATTAAATTTCAGACAGGTTAAGCTTTTGAAAATCAAGTTGCTAAAACACATCACCAAGCACGGCTACGGATTTGGTTTCGTGAAGAAATATATCACTCACATTCCTGCATATTAAATTTAAGTATCTATAACCTTCAAGAAGTGTATCCAATACATACTGCTCTTTCCAATGTGAAGTTTTGGGAGTATCTATAACATGCATTTGTTGAAAATGTCAAAATGCGGCTGATGCAACTGTTTTCCAATAATTCACATCTAAGTATTAGTTTTACATTTTAAATTCTGTAAATGCCAAACTGTAGTTGATACAATTATTGGTTTTAGTAACAGCACAAACTTCCATCCATCAAGATATTATCATCTTTGGCCTAAAGGGCCTCATGGTTTTATCTCCTTGATGTAACTTCCAAGGAGGTCACCCATCCCAAGGGTGCTCCAACACAAGCACACTTAATTTTGGGCTTTCTGTCGAAACTCCAATCATTACACTGAAAGGCGTCTCGATGTTTAAGAGTTTAGCTTCATTGTATTTAAGGGATTTGACATATATACCACCCAAATATTTCATATCACATCAAAAGTAACATTACTTCAATTTTCAAAAGTGGAAGGCAACTTCCCGTGCATAGGTAAGGTAGCATATATGTAAAAATTGAAGCTTAACTGTTAGATATGTGAATACATAGGAATTAAGTGATATGTATGTAAATTTTCCAATATTTCTTTGATTGATCCTTAGCATAAACAAACAGGAAACCATCCTAGATAATTTGCATAAACGAAAAGCAAATGCAAATTACATTGTAAATAAATTTCAGCCATCCAATCATCATTTGTTACGCTAGAAGTACCAAGATGAGAAAGATAATAATCTTAAAACCTTATTTGACAAAATCAGGCTCCATGCATGAAGCTCGGTCAGAGACTCAAGCAGCACTGTCATCCTACAGCAATGCGCTATTTATGGATCCAGATCATGTGCCCAGCAAGGTTTCTCTCGGTGCTCTTTTATGGCGGAGCGGATCGAAGCCATTAGCAATGGCGAGAAGCTTCCTATCGGATGCTCTCCGGCTTGAACCGATGAATAGGATGGCTTGGTATTATTTAGGAATGGTGCACAAAGAGGATGGAAGGTCCACAGATGCTGCTGATTGCTTCCTGGCAGCTTCAATGCTGGAGGGGTCTGAGCCTGTAGAGTACTTCTGAATTGATCTCATTATAAGAGGTGGTTTGTATCAATAATATGTTTTCTTTCTTGTAGCATAGCTAGGCATGATTGTTCTGATTTTCAAATTTTGTATAGATTTTAGGTGGAGAGTTTTTGTTTTGGGAAGATTTACGTACATACCACTTAATTCCTATGTATTTACATATGTATGACCTCAACATTCATTTTTACATGCATGCCGCCTTACCTATGCATGGAAAGATGTATTTCACTTTTAGAAGTTGGAATTGTTTATGTGATATGAAAGATTTAGGTGGCATAAATATAAAAAGTGAAGTTTAGGTGTTAGATGTGTAAATAAATATATAGGAATTGGGTGGTATGTTTGTAAATACCCCTATTTTTTTCTTTTTTTTCTTTTTTTTTTTTTGGCCATAAAACCTTTCTTTTCTGTAATTTAGTTGCCGCATCAGGTGCACAGTTAACTATTTTTTCTCTATTTACATTAGATGATTTATGACTTGTTGCATAATCTGCTTCGGTTTGTTGAGTCCAACTGATAGGAAAATTGCCTGCATTTTCAGAGTAATGCAAATCAATTGCTGGGTTTCAAAATTTCGATGTTACGTTAGATGGAAATGAATTACTGGCGTAAACTTGTAATGAATTCATAACTTGTCTGTTTAGTTTGAAAGCATTTTAAAGGACTGGTTTTCAAATTCATCCACCAACGGTCGCCACCTATCTATTGCCGACCATCGCTACCGCTGCAAACACCACTACGACCTATGTGGCTCAGAGCTCCTACAACTTCCTACAACGACCTTTGTAGCCAACTGATTCTCTTTAAGCATTTATCTGTAACTCACACAACCAACCATCGTCATGACTTTTAACTACAACATATACGATAAGATGGTGTTACAACCATCGTCAATAACATTCTTGGTGGATTATTGCTTGCCTCCATAACAATCTATTACAACCCTTGTCATCTGCTATCATTGAGAATTACATTCATTACAACCAGATTACGACTATTATCAATGAATTATTGTTATACACTTATAATGATCAACTCTATAACTCTGTCTTCCCTATTTAAGATAAGAGTGGACATCTACGTTTATCATTCATAGTAGATTGTTTCAACTAAGTTAAGTTATTGGTTTTTTCCTTTTTCAAGGTTTTCCACGTCAAAAATCAAGGCGTCTTATCCTAAGAACTTCTCTTTAATTACCTAAGTGTGTTGGATTTCCACGTAACAATAATTCATTACTCTACCCCTGCTGACATTCCAACATACATCAAATATAAACATGAAAAGATAATTTAAAAAAAAAATAAAAATAGATTTCTTAATATTGAAGTTATTTTTTAACGATAAAAGTCAAAGATTCATATTAGAAATATTCAATATGTGTGTATTGTATTATTATTATTATTTTCTATGGTGAAGGGATTTGAGGCTAATTGGAGGAAGACTAGGGTTGCTAGGGAAGGTGGACTCGATTGAAAATGTTGGTGGGGAGAGGCCAAAAATGAGGAAGATGATTAGGAGCATATAGTGGGAGTTTTGCTACATCATGCTAATGATACCTTGGCCAATAGTCATGGATACTTCAATCCATCAATGACCATATATTACAACACCGCATCATTAATGTTAGTGCTTGAAAGGAGATTGATGACCAGCTATAAAGTGATTTAGTCATATCACTTTCATGTTCGTTTGATCAAGTAATCGAATAAGCTAACATTCTGAATAAGTTTGAAAAACAAGTTGTTCGGGTTGTTTTTAATCACGAACAATTTTATTTAAAGTTTGTGAATATTTGGAATTCCATCATTTGTGAATTCAGCTCATGTAATCAAAGTTGATTATAGAGTTAGATTTTTTTTTTTTTTGCAAGCTCAATAAAATTATCTTATTAAGACTTGACAAGCTTGGCTTGATAAAATCTATTCATATTTCTAAAAGAGCTGCTTTTTATAAGCTTGTTCATCATAAAATGAATCAAGCTATTAAAAAAAAATTAATTTTAATTAAATTGAGCCCGAATACGGTCACAAAAGTTTAAATTAATCTCCATAAAGCTCGGTGCATCCTTCGTAGAGCTTACATGATTCGTTTCAATTGTAGTTAAGCCATATGATTTTCTCCATTTCAAGTTTATCATGCAAAAGATTATATATATCTCCTATAAAATGTTTTTTTATTATATTAGTCTCTATGTATATAAAAAAAATATTTAAAATTATAGTCATCGCATATATTAGAGAGAGATAGTAATGTCGTATTTTTTGTACAGAGATTGGACAAACACGTGGATAAAAGAAAAGCTAATAGAGAAAATTGCATCGGTTTTTATGTGCAAAACTAAAAAGTGAAAAACTATGGGGCCCAACTCAGTTGAAATGATTTCACTATGTAAATGTATGACACGAGACTTTGTTTTCCCTTGAATGGCAAAACAATAAGATAACAAGAGCAGGAAGTTATCAAAATGACTTTCACTAGAGGTGGAATAAAAAATATTGGAGAAATGATAGTGAGTTGGTCGTGAAATTGGAAGATTGATTGGCAAGGTAGTGTGATGGAGATTGGATGTTAACATAATCAACTGTTGTAGTGGGTAGGCAACCATGGTTCGATGACAACAACAGTGATAATCTAACGATGGTGCTCTAAAGGCCGCAGTTCGGTGACTTCAATCAAACAATGGTGGTCCAGTGGTCGTTGTGGCAAGGACCAAGCGAAGTTAGTGGTAGCAACAGTGATGACGACGATGGAAGGGGGTAGTGGTTTTATGGTGGAGTGGTGACAATTTGGCAACAAAGATCTAATAGTGGCAATGAAATCAATTGAAATCAATTGAACGATGGTGGTCCGACCACAACTATTGCAACGACCTAGTAACGGTAACGATGGCGATGACAACGGTGTCAATAGGAAGATGATGGTCTGACAACATGACAACATACAAACAATGTTGGTCCAACGATGGTGACAGCTAAGTGACAATGATCAAGCAACAATGGAGGTTGTCCAACGACAATGTGGTTTCGTGGTGGTGGAACTTAAGAATCTTCAAGATCATAGAGCACTTATAAATCTTCTCATCCAAGTGTAACTTCCTTTTGTGAAAAGATTAAGAGCCTATTTATAGATTTTTGTGGTGATATCATTCATAAATATTGCTTAAATCTAAGTCACTTCATCGAATGACCAAAAGTGAATCCCTTAATCAGAAGATGTTTTATGACTAACGAGTATTTGAATATCTTAGCTTTGTCTAAGTTATGCCATCTTAGACGAGTTAGATTTGTCCAGTTAAGACGCTCAATTCGTAAGATTGCCAATTTTGAAGATCATTTGATCCTTCAAGTTTCTCCTAAAGTTTTTTATCATGTTTGAAGTGCATGTTCCAGGCTCACTTGGGTCCAGATGAGAAAAGATGTTTTATGACTTACGAGTATTTGAATATCTTAGTTTTGTCTAAGTTTTGCCATCTTGGACTAGTTGGATTTGTCCAATTAAGACGCTCAATTCGTAAGATTGCCAATTTTGAAGCTCATTTGATCCTTCAAGTTTCTCCTAAAGTTTTTTTATCATGTTTGAAGTGCATGTTCCAGGCTCACTTGGGTCCAGATGAGATCAAATTTGATAATATTTGATTTGTCTCACTGAAACATTCCATCTGATTACAAATTTAAGTTTACGCAATTGTTAATTTGATTTTTGAAGCTCTCAATCCTAAAGTACATCGAGATTGGTGCCTTATGAAGATAAATATATATTTTGGATGTATCAATGATGGTAAATTGTTCCCTCACATGGCAACAATTCCATCATGCAACACTAATTGGGGTCATTTAATTTTGAAATAGATCTCCCTTTTTCTCTTAATAATTCCAAACAAACCAACCGGCACATAACGTTAATTTGATTTTTGAAACTTTCAGTCCTAAAGTATATCGAGATTGGTGCCTGATGAAGATAAATATTTTTTTTTTGGATGTATCAATGATGGCAAATTCTTCCCTCACATGGCAACAATTCCATCATGCAACACTAATTGGGGTCATTTAATTTTGAAATAGATCTCCCTTTTTCTCTTAATAATTCCAAACAAACCAACCGGCACATAACTCAGGGGTCAAATATGTTCAAAACCCGGTCCCGGTCTACATTTCAGAATTGACGCGGTCATCAAAATCTCACACCGATTCAGAAAATAAACGGTCAGGATGAATAAATCATTCATCCCGCAGGTCGCAACGGAAAGCTAACGACAAAGTTGACGGCCGTCACAATGGTCAGGCAGCTGAGCGTCACGAAGACGTCCGTCATCTGCTTTCTTCCGACTATTTAAATGGGGGAATGGGCGTCCATTTCTCCGGGATCTGGTGGTCGACAACTCCGCTTAGATCTCCCGGCCGCTCGGATTCCGCAAACACTGTCTCGATACCTCTCGTAAGCGCTCTATTTCCCTATCTGAATCCATAGATCTTGTAAAATTATTGTTTGGTTCTGCTGATTTGATCTATTCGAATTGGGAATGAGCTGATTGATTTTAGATTTTTGGTATATTTTGTGATGATTGTTGGTATCATGCATTGAAATTTTCCTGTAATTGAGGTAGGGATGCTTTAAGTGGGTCGATCTTTATCTTTGACGCACGTGTGTTGATCTTTGACTTCGCCGCTTGTTATTTGGTTTTTAAGCGATGTGGGCTGGAGATTTACATGTTTTATTTCAATTACTGGATCCGCTAAGTCTTTTGGCTTGTGATTTGACTTTAGTTTGATCTATTTTTATGTCAAAAGAAGAATTTAGAATTGGGAAATTTTTCTCGTGTGCTCATTTTATGATAGTTGATTTTTACGATTTTATAATTAATGATGCATTTATTTCTCTTTTGTTTTTGGCTGATGTTTTCTTCTGATATGTTAATCTTTAAGTACTGCCAATGAGAATTCTTTATTGTTTGTGGTTGCGTGCTTCTTTTGCATGTTTTATTATTATTATTATTATTTTATTTTATTTTGTTTTATTTTATTTTGTCACTTGATTTGGATATCTGTTTTTGGATTTGGATTATGCTTATATAATTTATATCCGGCACATTGTGGATTTGCACCTTTTAAGTAACGTGATTCGATTTTGATTGATTGTGGCTGCAGATTAGCTCAAAAGTTCTGGATCTTTTGTTTAAGCGGATTCATGGAAATGTTTGGCTGAATTAAGTGTGTTTCTTCTTTTCTTTCTATTGTCGTTTCAGAGGAATTTAGGGTTTTTGACAAATTTCTATGACTCTTTTGTGATAAGTGATGTGTTCTTTTTTCCAATTTTTTGGCTCTTGTATGCTCTGTTAAGTTCATTGCGAGCTTGAAAAATGAGAGTTAATGTGATTGCTTGATGTTTCTATATGCATATGTTAGGTGCAAATTGTCGAACATTGATATGGATTAATGTTACTGGATATGGCTTGAATTGCTTAGTTTTTTTTTTTTTTTTGCATTATTTTAATGTTTGTATATTTTCACTTTTTCCATTTCTGTTAAAATGTGATTTGATTTTGATTGTTCGTGCCTGGTGTTCACATGATAGTTTTTTTTTTTAAATAAGTTCTGGTCCTTCTGGTTCAATTGTATAGGGGGATGCATTATTTTGAAGATTTACATGCATACCACTCATAAGTCATATCCTATATATATGCATATCTTCACCTAAACTTTACTTCTTCTTTTTTAATCTGGGTTAAGTTTTTTTTTTTTTTCTCTTAAATATTTTCTTGATGAGTTTTAAGAGCACTAAAAGTTTCATCATGTGCTCGTTTTCTGATCGCTATAACATTTTTTATGATTAGTCAGGGTCATCATGTCTTAACTCTTCTTGTTCTGACAAGGTATTGTGGAACATTCTAGAGGAGAGCTATTTACCCGATGTTTTCATATGCTTGTCTATTAGGTGCAAATTGTGTAAATATAGTGTGGATTTCTGTTTTTGGGTTATGGATGCTGCTGTGGATATAACTTATGTGTGAAATCAAATTTCTTAATGAGCTCGTTTTTCATTAAATTTTGTGTCCTATTTTTATTACGGTGCACATTTCTTTGTAGTTTTAAGGCATCTATTTATTAGGAATATTTATTGTAGACTGTCTAAATGAAGATTCTTATCAATTGCTACTGCATATAGAAACACCTATATCCAGTGACATTTGTTATTTATGTGGCTAATGTGCATGATTGTGCTAACCTGATGTGGATTTCTTTAGGCTTGAAGATGGGGCTGTCTTTCACCAAACTCTTCAGTCGGCTCTTCGCCAAAAGGGAGATGCGTATTCTTATGGTTGGTCTTGACGCTGCTGGTAAAACCACCATTTTGTATAAGTTGAAGCTTGGAGAGATTGTGACAACCATTCCAACCATTGGTAAGACTTTTTTTCTTGGATTGCCTTATTTTAGATTTGTTCCTGTAAGGGATATGAATTTCACTTTATAAGTACTCAAATTTTTCAACTCGGGTTGCACTTTTGTTCAAACAACATACTGAGTTGGGCCTGCCTTTCATTGACATTAAATTTAGATTGCCCTTTATCTAGCTGTACTGACTCGAAATTGGATTGAAATATATATATTTTTGGTTTTGTGCATTCACATACACATGGCATCTACTTTTTTTTCTTACATTTTTGTATGCATGCATTCATGCACACACATCTATAGTCTAGAATTTGACTCAGCATATTTCCTGAAATGAACCATTCCTGGTTAAGACTAAGCTTGAAAATAAAAAGTTAATGAGCCAATATTGGGTTGAATTTAGATTGGTCCAAACCTTTGGGTGCTAGACCTAGCAATGGTTGAGATTGGACTTTATATGCTTTAATAAAATCTTGAACTATCGTTAGATTTTCCTAAGTTTACATTATTTCTTAGACTGATTTGGATCATGGTGACTTCAATTACGTACAATGTTGAATCTATCGAGTAGCTGTGCTTGGATCATGCTTAACCCTAATTTTTACTATGAAGGTTGTTCTATTTGTTATAATTTATTTTTTTCATGTAGTTGAAGTTTTTCACTTAATCTGATTATGACCATTTTTTATAAATGGAAAATTGAGCATTCATCTATCTGTGTTGACGTGCTGTGGCTATTTTTGGCAGTATAGTGAAGAAGAAATAAAACTGCACGAAAAGCTTTTCTTTGGTGGGAGAAAAATAGGATATGAAAGAATAGAGCTGTGAAGGTTGATGCAATCCTAGTTTTTTTCTTGCTGTCACCGTAATTTTTTAGTTGGCATTTATTTCCAGCAACAATTTTATCAATTCGTAAGCCAATGAAAAACCATGATCCAAAAGTCAGTTGAGTTTTTTGGAATTTATTCGAAAGTTAGTTTTAATTGAAACATTGATTTTGCATTGATCTAAATGTAGAGAAGTTGATGGCCATTTTAAGTTGGGTTCAAGAGAATCAAAGCAATGGAAGGAGCAAAGTCAGTGTAACGCGAACTCTATCTAACAAAAGGACAACTGGAAACTTTCTGTAGAGAAAGGACATAACAAACTAAATAAACAAAGTAGTGAAAGGAACAAAGTAATGTAGGGTTAAGCTTTTGCATAATTAAACTAGTTGGGCTGCAGCATTGTATAATGTAGTGGGCTGTTGCATTAATTTCCCTTATCCTTCGAAGAACTTGATTCTAAGTTCAATTCAACAGCTGTGGATGCAACGGGTGAATGATGCTCAAAGATGTGTCGAGCATTGAAGTTCTCTTAGATCATTAAATGATCAAACAAGTCTATAAAATTTGCATTGCTGCCAAGCTGCTTCTTTTGTGAATGGACCAATTTTCCTAGTGACATGTACCAATAGGATATTTGTATTCATTGATATGAGTCATGATGAGATCATCTTTAAAGAGCTTAACACAATGATGCTGCTCGCCAATTATTCATATCTTCAATTGGGTTTTTTGAGTTTTTGCCATACTTCTTGATGGAATTTCTTTTACTTTCTTAGCTGATTGTTCTAAATTTCTATTTGCAGACTTTAGTGGGTAACTCAATCAAATACTGCGTACATTGGTATTTTAGTTTAGTGATGGAGGATGGTGGCCACTTCATTAATCAATTCAAAATTGATAGGAATCACACAATGAACAATTCCTAACTTTACTGAGGCTTAGGATCAATTAGAAACTAAACAACACCGCGAAATAATTTAATCGCATCAATTCGATAAAAAATCAGAGCAAAAGTTAAAACAGATAAACAATCAAAGCAACCAGAAAAACACACCAGAATTTACGTGGAAAAACCCGAGAATAGGAAAAAACCACGGAGTCATACCACTATAAATTTTTATTATGCAATTCAGAAGGTTTTGCAAATAACTCACACATGTTTTCTCTCCGCACACAAAGAAAATTTACAGGATTCGCTCCACAATATTTCTTCTCCAATCTAATGCAAAAATCACGCCAAATCATTGAATTTACCTTTCCTATACTCGTCACCTGCACCGGGATGCTCGTCGAAGAATACTGAAGGAAGATACACCAAGTCCTACCTTATGCCGCTCAAAATTGGGATTAAAAATCAATTCTTGACACCAACCGCTCCTAGAGTATAAGCGCTCGAACTTGGCGCTTATGCTCCAAGCTCTCAAGAAATAGGTGTCTATATTGGCACATATGCACCCAAAGTCGGCGCATAGGCGCCGACTTTTCTATTCAAGTAGCACCCAAGTGGGAGCTTAATCGCCCACAACCCGACACATATGTGTCAGGTGCTTTGTGCTTAGTCTCCATAGCCAAACAATCTCCCACTTGGAGACTATAGCACCTAGCACCAATCTTTTGTACCTGCATCTCCATCTGAATCAACTTCATAGTCACATACTGTGGTGTAGCTCACCCCCTGTCTCAACCTTCATGTAATTCAACCGAAGCCAAGCATAGCTTCATTTTCTCAATAATCACCACATTTGTTAACATATCTGCAAGATTCTCATATGTGTATCTTTTCCATAAATAATTATTTATCTTCCAAAAGAGATAGAATGAAATGATACCTCAGCTGAATGTAACAAAATCATTTTCGTTCTGGCATGAAAAACAGTGTTCTTAGGAAGATGAATCACACTCATACTGTCACTGTAGTGTTTTCCAATTCACTTCTCCTTGTTTAATTTTATCATGAAGTTCTGTAACAAAATCATCTCCTTGCTAGCATCAGTAATAACAACATATTTAACCTCCGTCGTTGAAATTGTAACAATCTTCTGCAACATTGAAACCCAACTCACCGTTGTGTTCCTCAATGTGAAGATATATCTCGTTATACTTCTCTTATTGTCCACATCTCCTGCCAAATCTGAATCTACAAAATTCTGTAGACAAATTGTTGCATTTTCATAGCAAAGTGCCTTTTTGATCGTTCCTCTCAAATATCTGAAAATCCACTTTACTATCTCCCAATAATGTCTGTATGGATTGCCCATGTATCTGCTAATCACTCCCACTGCATATGCAAAGTTAGGTCTAAATCATCGCATACATCAAACTTCTAGCTGCTGAAGTATATGGAGATCTCTCCATCTATGCTTGCTTTGTTTCTGAGTTAGGCGCTAGCTCCTTAGATAGTTTGAAGTGACTACCTATGGGAATGCTAACTGATTTCGCCTCATTTATGTTGAACCTCTGTAGGATCTTTTCAACATACCTTGCCTGAGACAACTTTAGTGTTCCTGCACTTATGTCCCTGTTGATTCTCATCTCGGGATCTTCTTGGTTAAATCTAAATCCTTCATCTCAAACTCATTTGATAATTTTTTTTTCAAATCTCAGATTTTCTCTATATTTGTTCTTGTAATTAACATGTCATCCACATACAAAAGAAGTAAAATATAACAATTACCGAAGTGTTTGATGAAACAACAGCGGTCTGTCTAGCATTTCATGTACCCATTGTATCACATGAACCAGTCAAGTCTCCTGCACCACTGTCTCGGGGGTTGCTTCAGGCCATAGAGGCTTTTTTTCAATCTACAGACCAAACCCTGGAACCATATAACCTTGTGGTTGCATCATATATAGCTCCTCCTCCAGATCTCCGTGTAAGAAAGTTGTTTTTTCATCTATCTGTTCCAGATGTAGGTCTTCTTCTGCTACCAAACTCAGCACAACTCAGACAGCCATCTTTACCACTGCGGAGAAGATCTCTATGTAATCCATTCTTTCCTTCTGCTGAAAACCCTTCACAACAAGCATTGCCTTGTAGCGCTTGCTATCATCTGACACTTCTTTCGGCCTATAGACCCATTTGTTGTGCGGTGCTCTTTTGTCATTTGGTAGTACCATCAAATTTCAAGTCTGATTGGACTCCAAAGATTGCATTTCTTCATCCATGGCAAGTTTCCACTCCCTTGAATCTTCAACTTGAGTGGTTTCCTCAAAACACTCGGGTTCACCACTATCAGTTAGTAACAAATAATATAAAGAAGGAGAATATCAGTGTACTAGTCGTGTCACTGCTAAATCTTTTGACTTTTGTAGCAGACGACAGAGGAACTTCTAGTGCCCCCTTTGATTTTGCAGTTGTTCTTTCTCCATCTTCTTGATCATCAATATCTTCAATCTCAACACGTCCGGATTCTTCAGAAGTAGTTGATGGACTGTCCTGAGTTCTGACCCAATTCTTGTACATCTTCATTTCATTGAATGTGATGTCTCTGCTTCTAATGAATTTATAATTCTTGTAATCTCAAAACTTGTACCCAAACTCATCTGAGTCATATCTAATGAAGGTGCACTTCACAGATTTTGAGTCAAGCTTACTCTTGGTCCCTGCATCTACAGACACATATGCGGAACACCCAAATGCTCTTTGGAACTACATTTTAGCTGATTTCACAATCGAAATTTACATTGCGAATGTTTTTTAGTGTATTCCGACTAGCATGAAAATGAAATGATGTGTTGAGTTTTGTTGGTTGGTGGGTACTAGTTCAATAATGCATACAGGTAGATCTTTGTCCCCATCAATTTCAATAAATTCTACACATTCTATATCCTTCTCACAGTTAATATTATTGCTCCCCATTAATTTTGGCACTTTCAGTCATTTGGTGTGAGGTTTTTCTTCGTGGACATTTATTGGATTTGTGACCTTCAGATTGTAATGATAACGATAGTGGTCATGGGACGAGCATATAGTTTAGTCCTAGCTTGCTTGACAGGGGCTCTTTTAAGAGTTTTGGAGCTGTCAACAGCATATTTGGAGTTGTTACACCTAATTTTGCTGGGCTGTGGTTGGAGAAAAAAGATGTTGGAATTCCAGGATAAGCTGCTCTCTACATTTCATAGCTTTTGATCCAAAATTGTTTGAAGGGCTAATTGATCATGCAAAGTCTTTTAACTTCCCA